CAGTGAACAAGACACAGTGCCGTGGTGGGGTGACAGCTGTGCATGTCTTGCTCAGAAGAGGGTGTTCTTCATCGCCACTCACGTACCGTGCCAGGCAGACTGCTAGGCTGGGCCACAGGAAAGAGGCCATGGCACAGATCTTTTAAGAGGTTTGAATCTTTAAAATTAAATGATGGCAAAATCATTTTAATACAATAGACTTTGCTATTTGCTCAGTGACTGTGTTAAGTGGTGTGCAGTTGTTCTGACTCACAGTGGCCCCATAGAGGGTTTCTGAGGTTGTGAATCTTTGTGAGAGCAGAAGGCCTCAGCTGGTGGGCTCGAACTGCTGACCTTGCAGTCCACAGTCCAGTGAGTCAATGGCTAGTTTATTGAAAAGTTGTAGAAAATTTGGAAACACTAAAATTTTCTCAAAAGAAGATGTAAATGTCATTCAGAGCCTTTGCTTTTTAGTATTATACTAAACGATGAACTGTTTGTAGAAAATGTGAGCTTATAAATGTTTACCCAGAAAATAAAAAGTTGCTAACATTATCCAATTAAACCATTGATGATATTAGACTAAATATACAAGCTAATTGTTTCCCTCTTGCTTGTCACTGTAGGGATTGTCTACCTCAATGATGTTACAGATGTGACACTTCAATTTGGGCGGCACTATCAGATATTTTCTAACTGTGTTTTTATTAAGGGGACCTGAGAGACAAATGCCAGGAATTTCTTCTTGTGTTCTGGGGCTGATCCCCTCTAATTGACTCCAATGGTAGTAACGTTGAGCAATTTCATTCAGGGTTACTATGGTGTTTGGATGTTTAAAGTCTGCCTAGTCATGATTTAACTTGAAAGTTAAAATATCAAAGCACCACTATCAAAAAGCTCACTTGGGAAACACTCTCAAGTGTCATATGACCTCTGGAAATGTGGTGACCCAAGAGAAATTACCTTGCACCGTGTCCTGAGTAGGTTCTTTAAGGTACTGAGTAGCTGAACTGTATGCACTACCAGCAATATACCTCCTAGTCCCAAAGTTTGGCAGGAAAATAGACTGGTGGTGGTGGTTATGTGCTGTGAAGTCAGTTCCAACTCATAGTGACCCTGCATAGGGTTTCCAAGGCTGTAAATCTTTACGGGAGCAGAAAACCTCATCTTTCTCCTACAGAACGGCTAGTAGTTTCGAACTGCTGACCTTGAGGTTAGCAGCCCAACTCAACAGTATTTCAAAACTGGACTGCTGGTGTGGCACTGTAGGATCAGCACTGGATTGTGAACCACAAAGTTGGCAGTTCAAACCCACCAGCAGCTGCTTGGAAACCTTACACAGGGTTGCTATGAGTCAGAAGTGACTTGATGGCACTTAGTAACAACAACTTTCCCAAATGAATGCATATTTAAAGGATGACCGTGCCTTTGTTGCTTTAGATATAATGATTAGTAATTGATATATAGGGTACTCTTGTAAATCCTTTAGGTGATTAGCTTATCTTAAAAAATTGTCATCTAGTAATTTTACTCATGTTTTCCAGAGAATTGCTGTAAAACCACCAGATGGAGCTCAAGTTAAACATAAACTCAGACTTGGAATTAGATTGAATGGGCTGAATTACAGCAATTGAATGTAACATTTTGTTTCTAAAGAAATTAAATTTAAAATATTAAAGGAAAATCAAAATTATTCTCATTTATTGGTTGCTTTGGAGCCCTGATGTGGTGCTGTAGGCTAAGCACTGGACTGCTAACCATAAGGTCAGCAATTCAAACCAACCAGCCGCCATGCGTCAGAACTGACTCAGTACTTAACAGCAACAGAGTGTGTTACGCCTTGGTTGAAATGATTTAACTCTTATGTATTTATATTCAATCCACTTAGCAGTCCTATGATGTAAGTAATATTTATCAGTCCTATGCAAATGATGTATTGCATTAGGCAAATCTGCAGCACAAGATCTTTTTAAAGTGTTGAAGAGCAAAGATGTCAGCTTGAGGACTAATGTGCACCTGACCCAAGCCATGGTATTTTCAATAACCTCATATACATGTGAAAGCTGGACAGTAAATAAGGAAGACCGTAGAAGAATTGATGCTTTTGAGTGTTGGAGGAGAATATTGAAAGTGCCATGGGCTGCCAAAAGAACCAATAGATCCATTTTGGAAGAAGTGCAGCCAGAGTGCTCCTTGAAGGCTAAGATGGCCAAACTTCATCTCTCATACTTCGGACATATTGTCAG